ATTTAAGAAAATAAAATCGAAAAAAAAATTTTTTTCCCCGGCGACCTCTATGGAGAGTAGGGTGGTCTTCTCGCGGACCCTCTCTTAAGGACCCAGGGGTACTCCCATAGGATAGCCCTTGAAAACCTACGGTTAACCACACAGGATAGCTCTTGAGGGCCTACGGGTACCTTCATATAATAGTTCCTGAGGACCTATGGGTACTTCCATATAATAGCCCTTGAGGGTCTACGGGTACCCTCATAGAATAGCTCTTGAGGTCCTATGCGTACACCCACAGGATAGCTCTTGAGGATCTATGCGTACCCTCATACAACAGCCCTTGAGGACCTATGGATACCCTCATATAATCGCCCTTGAGGCTCTACCGGTACCCTCATAAAATAGCTCTTGAGGACCTATGAGCACCCCCATATAACAGCCCTTGAGGACCTATTGGTTAGGGAACTGCAAAGTGGTCCCGGTCCCGGTCCCGCCGGGACCGGGACCGGGACCGGGACCAAGTTTTGACTTTTTTGCGGAACCGGGACCGGGACTAAACATTTTGCATACTGGTCCCGGTCAGTTTTTTATGCAATGTGTCGCCATTTATTTTATTTTTTTGACAATAGTAATGGCGACTCAGTATAAATAATCAATTCGATAATAAATCCCTTAGCTAGAGCAGTAGATATAAGAGAAGAGAGAAATGAGTAGATGACTACTACGAAGAACATGAGAATTTTTAACAAAATTCAATGGTTATTTTTATTTATTCGAGTTTTCAATGAAATTCTTTCACTTTAACACTGGATATAAAAACAATTCTCGTAATGTTAACGAATCAAAATTATTCATGTCAATTTAATGTATTCATAAAAGTACATAGATCGTTAAAAAATTGTTCGATTTTAGGAATGAAGCCAATGTCAAAGACCGGGACCGGGACCGGGACTAAAAAAAAATATATGACCGGGACCGGGACCGGGACTAGAAAAAGTGATTTTGCAGTTCCCTACTATTGGTACCCTCATATATAATAGCCCTGAGAGTATTCCCCTTATCGCCATATCTAACCTTTAACGTTTGACCGGGCACAAACACACATACGCACACACTGAACATTATATATAGATGACCAAACCGATGAACTAGTTGAGATATATTCCGAACCCGAACCGAACCCGAACTCTGAGGCCGAACCCGAACCCGAACTCTGAGACCGAACCCGAACCGAGCCCGAACGTTCGGGTTCGGTGCATGTCTAATATTAAGTTTAACAATTATAATACAAAGGTATTTCATGACAATATATGCATTTATAAACGGATAAGTATATGAAAATAATTAGTTTTTCCTTTTACTCTACCCTTCAGAAAGGTTTATCAGAGTGCAACGTGTGACAATCCCTTAAAGAGTTTTTGAAAAAGATAAACGCTTTGATAAACCTTTTGATGTACGATTATCGAGTCTGATAAACGGTATTTTTGGCTGAGTCAAGGGGTATGTATAAGGGTTTATCAGGCTTTGAAAAACGCTGAAAAGGGTTTGTCACCCGTTGCACTCTGATAAACTCTTTAAGGGTATATCAATCAACGGATTTTTTTTTCAGTGTACGACAATCATGGGAAGCATAAATCGAAAACTTAAGTTGTCTATTTATTTTCACTAACCATGGAAGGTCGGGAACTGATGAGCAGTAAGGTTGACCTTGTTCGGGTGAAATGATCACTCTTATCGAGAAACTAACGTATTTAAAATATGAGATGCTGAAGGTGTACCTAAGCAGAGATATTCAATTTTTAAGTGATGCACAATTTGGTATTGGGTCAAAGGTTAAAGGTCAAAGGTCAAAGGTCAAATAATAGCAATAAAGATCAGCGGCTGATAAATGGCTCAAGTTTCCACTATACAACTCTTCATACAACAATCCAATGAATAAATCTTCCGCTCTCTGAATACCAATGAGTGAGAAGCTTGAACCATTCATCAACCACTGATCTTTATTGCTATTATTTGACCTTTGACCTTTAACCTTTGACCCAATACCAAATTGTGCATAACTTAAAAATTGAATATCTCTGCTTAGGTACACCATCAGCAGCTCATATTTTAAATACGTTAGTTTCTCGATAAGAGTGATTATTCCATCCGAACAAGGTCAGCCTTACTGCTCATCAGTTCCCGACCTTCCATTGTAAGAAGATATACTTCCTCAAACGTCCAATGATTCATCTATCATAAGCAAAGGGAATTTCTTAATGTCGTCTCTTTACCTTTTTGTGGTGTTAGCATATGAATCAATAATCGTGCTGACCCTATGTATTGTAGTTTTGTTACTATAACGATGACAGTGAACATAATTAAGCGCAAGAAATGAATGTTAGCTAGACCATAGTGCAACTATCTGGCTTAGTGGTGACTCGATAGCATAGATAGAATCGCTGTGATACGTGAGTCTCAACGTTAGGTGCCAGTTTTTACTCGGTTCTCGTTGCAAGTAGCGATTGAGAATGGCGCACACTTGCAGTAGTCGACGCACTTATAAGAACACGTGTTCGAATCCAATTGTTTACTGACTCGTATCCGATTACATCTTGAGTAGAAAAAACTCCATGTGGCTATATGCATCCAAGCAAGCTCTGTTCTATCTAAATACAAATTTTCAGTCCTTTATCTCTTTCCAGTCACGAGATATAAAAATCCAAAGTGCCTAAAATAGTGATTTTTTGCCTGTACAAGTGAAATCCATTGAATACCAAGAACTCAACTGTTTGAGCTGAAATTATTTTTATAGGTAGAAGTTATTCATATAGGCTAACAGGAATTTCGCCAATTAGGACTTTCGCCAATAGGACATTCTCCAATGGCGAAAGTACAGTGGACATTCGTCAATTGGCGAAATTCCAGGGGGTGTATTGGTGAAAGTACAGTGGACATTCGCTAATGGCGAAAGTCCTATTGGCGAAAGTCTTAATTGGCGAAATTCCGATATCCCTTCATATATGTTTTCACAAAAAATTTCAGCTCGATCGGTCAAGTCATTCTTGAAATATTGAGTCCTCAAAATCCTCTTTTTGAGGGTCTGTATTTTTAAGACTTTTAGGAAAAAATTCATTAAAAATCGAGGGTTCAATACTTTTGAAAACGGCTTGCGTCACTATTCATAAAATTGTTGCCTCTACTACATATGTTAAGCTGAACAAAATCTGAGGACCTCGATTGAGCACGGTCCCTGCCCAAGCAGATAAAAATGCTAAAAGAACGGCGTTACATAAGTCAGTGAGTTTTTGCTTGACATTTTGGGCACTGGCTAAGTGAAAAAATTCTCGTTGGATTTTAAATTCTAATATGACCATTCGATAGAGAATATTGTTCTCTATTGAGCTGGGCCTTGTGCAGATCAATAGAGAACAGTTTTCTATATCGAATGGTCGTATTATAATTTAAAATCTAATGGGATATTTTCCGCTAGGCAGTGTCCAAAATGTTAAACAAAAAGTCACCTGATGGTCAATTATTGACCAATCGAATTTTGACATGGGGTGATAAAAAATGTCTTAGTTTTTCGTATGGTAAAAACCGCAGGTCCATATCTGCTTCCATTCTCGAGTTATTCAGTTTACAATGGACTGCACTGACTTCTGAAATGGATATTAGTAGATACTCATATTTATGCAAACCATTAAAAGCCCCTAAGAAAGAAAGAAAACTGGTGTAAATAGGTAAGTTAAGATCTTTGAAAAAGATCTTCTCATTTAGATGTGTGAAACCCATTTACAATTTTTGTTCTCACTGTCATCATATTCAGAGTCGCGATTTGAGAAAGTATATAGATGCATACTTTATTTCAGTCATTGCCAACTGATAACCGTACAAAACAAACAAGCAAGTAGCACGAAAAAGAGACGAGCATCTTTGTAATTATTATTACTACTACTACTATGCGTTGATAATGGTAGTGGAATATGTCGATCCGTTCGACTTTCTCCGAGAGAGAGAGAGCGAAAAGCGTACCTAAACATGCACATACATACACCGCCATTGTTCTTCTAATTATTTCGGGTGCCAATGTGTGTTTGTGTGGGCGCACGCACGCATTCTTTCTTTGTGTACATGTCCCATCGATGATGTTATCTAGTGAAATACATAGAAGAGAGAACGACGGGCTGCTGCAAACGAGTTTTCTATCTCTTTTTAGCATTTCGAACTAGGCCAGTCTATATAAATAATATTATCTATCGTTTTAGATTTAAGCATTTCTATTCTGTATTGACAACGATATGTTTCCAACAGACGCGTTCAATATATACCCAATGGGCTTACCATTTGGTTACCAACAGTCACCAACGTCATTTTTTCCTGAACAATTCGGTAGCAATGCATTTAATTCACAAGATCGAACACAATTTTATCAATCTGCGCAATCGAGAAGTCAATCATTGTCAACATTCTTCAACCCTTACCCACAGGCGAGTGGACCTTTTACACCAGGTCAACTCCCATCCTCATCATCTCGACTTCAGCAAGATCAACAACCATCGAATACATTTCAACCATTCGGTCAGGGTGGTGGAAGTCAAGATAAGACAAGTCGTCGACATTCAAAAAAAGATGATACTCAAAGTCAGCGACAACGACAAACACCCGTTATTGCCGGATTCAATGCTAATACTGGCCAAGCTCTTAAAGAGCCACCAAAAACACATGGGCATCGAGAACATCAAACTGTTAGTGGTATCAATTCACAAGAGGCGGTCAATGGCTCAATTTCATCTTCTGTTCAACCATTGACCATCATCAGAGAAACAACCAGGCGCAAGCAGAGTCCTCAACAATCACGGCCCACTTCTCATGATCCGTATGTTCATATTCAAATAAGTCTCATCCAAAAAACAAAACCATACTTGTTTCATTCTAGTTCACCTTCGAATGGTAGTCAAGCTGCTACGACCGATACTGCAGCGAAGAAACAACAAAATCAACATGAAGAAACAGCAGCACAATCGGTAAATGCCGCTGTCGGTCATGCTAATAATCGACAGGTAGCTGTCGGCGTCGGCAGTGATGTTCAACACCAAGTTTCAGCAGCAGTAGCACCACCACTGGAGGAAATCGATAACATCATGCCGACTAAATTGTTCGATGGAACAAGGACATCGTTGAGAGACTTGGACCAAGCTGCTTGCTCCTACCTGTGGTTCCGACGAATCAAAGAGATTTTTCTCGTCATCGGAGACCAAACGGATGCATTTTCATGTTCTGATATGACACTTGCTCGAGATGATATGATTGAAACATGTGAACAATATCTCGCAAATACAAAACCACAAGGCGGCGGAACTAATTTGGTTTGTTTATATGCCAGAATAACAAAAAAATGTCTTTGGATTTTTCTTTCTTTGCAGAACGAGTCAGCACAAAAGAAGTTGGACGTATGGAAAAACAAAAGATTATATGCTGAAACATTCAAAATGTCTTATTCTCGAAAGGACTCAGATTCGAATGATAAGACAGTTAAAGTGAGTTTCCTGTTATTGAATGTCATTAGGGACTTTTTTGAAGGTAGCTTATATAAGACTCTTATACATGTCTCAAAATAGGGGTTTGATCCTATTCCAAATAGATATATGGATTTTTATTTATCTTTTTCGTTAAAAAATGTGAATATCTAAAAAACACAAAGCAAAGAAATCCCTACAAAGCTGCTCATTTAGTTTAGAAGACTGCATGGAAAAGTATTTTAACAATGTATATTCTTTCTTGATATAATTTCGCTACAATTATTGTATTCTATCATGCAGACTTTTTCCTTGTCTTGATTTGAGATCACATCCAAATTCATACTGAACTATTGCTCTCGAAACTTCAATAGGAAGTTCTCTGTGCATGATTTTATTGAAGCCCACAATATACATACCGAATGTAAAATCAGCGACAACGAGTAGCCAAATTTTCTACTCCATTACAGCCTTTGTAACATGAATTCATTTCCTATACAGCAACTTTATCCCGGCATTACCTACTTTTTGCTTGTTCCGAACGGCGTTTATAGATATATTTGAATAGTAGTCTGATAAAGTATCACATTTTGAGAGTTTTGCCTATACAGAATTTTTCAACAATGTTGTAAAAACCTAGAGCACATCTTGTGATACAGGTTAATAGATTGTAATTGCTGCTCGATCCGGCCATCCCCTATCCTTCGTAATGTGAGAATGAGTGGAAAATTATCAATACTCTGCTAGCTAAATTTACATCATTATTCAGTCTTTATTGTTGACTATGCAGGACGACAAGTATTGTTCAACGATCTTCCTGTTTTTTTTGGCTGATTCCAAACCCAGCAAGAAGACGCTTCAGTCCTTGTTTATTCTAAAGATCGGGTGATGTCTCGAGTAGTATCCTAAGAATTCAAAAGTCGAGATAGGATAAATCACAGATGGAATAGTCTCGACTAGAAAAGAGCCGCGGACGAGAACATGTCAGCCTATCACTACCTCTCTAGCTGTTGAATAAAATTCTACGTCGAATTTTTTGTCGGGTTTGAATCAATACTTAATATTAATAGTACTCTTGCATACGGATCTAGATTGTTTTGAAATGTGAGTTCAATCAATAGATATTTTCAAGTGAAATATATCATTCAACAACTGGAAGATTTTTCTAACTGACGCAAATTTCAGAAAAGATTTCCTTGTTTGTACAATGATTTTATTTTAATATTTAACCAAATCCAACAGAAAAGCCAGCGTATAAATCGTTTTTGAAGTTCCTTTCTGTATATGTCAAAATTCATCGACAATCCTGCTTCACAAAATCAGTAAAAACAGAGAAGAATTCTCACACAATAGAAACGGAGAATACTTTTTGAAAGAAAACCAAGGAATATTGACAAGTTAAAAATCGTAATTGTTACGTGAGAAAATTGTTATTCATTTTCCCTGAAGCCTTGTTTAAATTCAAACAAACAAAAGATATATATTTCACGTAACAGATAATTCAGCCGCTTTGTATATATCTAACGTAGGGTATTCACTAATCTCAATCCTGTTCATTTCTTGAGAAACCCTGGAAAGATCTTTCAGGATCCTGAATATTTGTGATTTTGTCAAGTATTGTTCAGCATCCTTTTTCGAATTCTAGTCATTCCTGTTTGTAAAGTGTTTCAAGATGAAAGAAGATCCCATTAAGGATCCTTTCAAGTTTATGAGAGAGGGTTCTATCAAGATTTTAATTATCAGGTTCTCATCAGGATCCGGTGTAAGTCTACATATTAGTATCCTGTCAAGAGTGATAGCCACATCATACGAGAATCTTGGCAAGAAAATAACAAGATCAGTCAAAATACGAAACTGACTAATCCTACAAAGTTTCGATCAGAATCTTGCTCAAAACTTTTCAAAAATAAACATTTCCAAATCTTGCAAGACAATGTCAATCCTAATCAGAATCTTGATAACTAAATCTAAGGATTTAACAAAGATCTTTGCAGGTTACTGCTTAGTTCATTTAACCACGCTTATGTCTTTAGACAACCTTGAAGAATCTTTCAGAATCATAAATCTCAAGGATTCTGTCAAGTTTCATACATAGGATTCTATCAAGAATTTGTACAAATTCCTCTTTGGATTTTTTTCTGAATTGGGTTTCTAGGATCCTCCTAAGATTGACTGTTAGTCCTATCCAGAAACCCGACAAAAATCACAAAGAAAAGTTCGTCAAGATTACATGAGATTTGAATCAAGATCTGTTCCGGATTCGGATACGGGGATCCTGCTAAGACTTATAGTTATATTAGAGAAGGATCATACCAGGAATACAATAAGATTAGTCAGAATCCTCAATCAAGAAAGCCTGTCAAACTTCGATTAGGATTCTGAATGAAACTGTTCAAGAACAGACATTTTCAATGTTTAAAAAAACTACAAGATGAGGAACTTGATAAGAAAATACCGAGTGATCCAAAAGTTTTGCAACATTTTGTGTTTTGCATGTATCTCAGTGCAGATGAATGATAAAATCTCGAATTTATTTTTAAGAGATGCGCAACTGAGTTCTCTAAAAGTTTGTATTCATCTTAGTTTAAAATCATGGAATTGAGCGTTTTTATAGGTCACATGATTTGATTGTACAAATTGTATCTACTTCCCACAGATCTTTTTAAGAAGTCATTTTTTTTCTATACGACCGAGGGTGTGGGTGTGGTGGTGTTGAAAAGATGACTACTATCCAAATCCTCACTCTCACCAACACCCACACCCTTATGTGTTAGACGGACAGAAGGCTTCATAAAGAAAAGCAATCTCTCGAGTTTATTAAAGTTCGTGTGATAATGTCTATTAATGTAGCTTTTTAAGTGTCTTTACATCACTGAATTCGAGTTTTCTTTGCATTTTGCACCTTTTGTTAGAATAAAGGAGTTGGTTGACCTACCCATGAATCTTCATTCAAATTCCACTAAACAGTAGGCATTCAATTGTTGCCTCCATATATTCATTTTCAGACATCGGCGCATACGGAGCTTTCAAGAGGTGAAATGCCGAATTTTGACAATCCGATTTGGTGGTATTCTTGTAACGAAGCTCCGATCTTTGATCAAATAAACGATATTCTACGTTTGGAAAACTATGAACTTCTCATGTCTCATCGCTACTTTATAAGCGATCTTTGCCAGATGATTGAACGATCGTACGCAAAAAATAAACTTTCAGAAAAGCTCGTCGTCTATCGGGCAGATAAACTAAGTACACACACTTATAAAAACATCGAATCCCTTACAACGGAAACGAAAACGAAAACGAAAACGAAAACAAAAACGAAAACGAAAAGGAAAACGGAAACGGAAACGGAAACGGAAACGGAAAATAAAATGTATACCATAAATGGATTTATTTCAACGTCTAAGGACGAGGGTATCTCTCTTGAATATGCAAACCAAAAACTAAAGCACGGTGGAGATTTTGTTGTTGTCATGTATGAAATTACTATCGATCCAGCAATACCTTGCTCAGCTTTTGCTGATATTGAATCAATTTCATTTCATCCTCGAGAACGAGAAGTTCTCTTTAGTATGGGTTCAACCTTTAGAGTCGACGATGTCGATAAAGATCCAAAGAACACGAAAATAAAACGAATCAAATTGACAGCAATGGACTGGAAGCCGACTCTTCTGGAAGAAACGAAAGCAAAAATAAAAAAATCTTCTCAAGCCACTCTCAGCATCTTGCTTGTTCGTTATCTAATGGACATCGGTGAAGATCGATTATTGACTCGGGAGTCAAATCAAATGATTGAGAAGAAACTGCTTGAGAATGATCCTAATTTGGTGTCCGCATATAATTGTCTCGGAAAAATTTGTTACCGGCAGGCATTGTATAATGAAGCTTTGAATTATTATCGGAAAGCGCTCGATGCCCAAGCGCGGTTACAGTTCTCTAATAACAATGCTCTGGCGGAAATCTTCAATAATATTGGTGAAACTTATTTTGAACTGAATCAATTAGATGAAGCCCAAAACAATCTCAAAGAAGGGATTCGCATTCAAAAGCTAGAGTCGAAATCTGCACAACAACATCTTGCTTTACTCTATTATAATATGGGTAAAGTCGCTTATGCTCGACCCGATTATGTGAAAGCTAAGAAAAATTTTGATAAATCCGACCAATTCTTATCGAATAAAGACGAAACAACAGTTTCGAACGATACTCTAGAAAAATGTTTACTCGAAGCTGATTTGTTAATCGCTAGGGAATATCTTAAACATACACAAAATCGAAAACATGCACACCATCGTAAACATACACACCATCATAAACATGCACAAAATCGTAAACATTCAGCAGAAATCTGTGAAAAACTTCAGGAAGCACTAAAAATTTATGAGTCCATGCTGCCTTCTACTCATCCCAAAGTGGCTGAAACTCGGATTAATATTTTTTATGAATATGTTGACAAAAGAAATTTTCAATTGGCTATCGAATATCACGAGAACGGGCTTAAGCAACATTTAGAATCTTATGAAAAGAAATATATAATAACTCAACAAGAGTTGGCAAATCTGTATGCAATTATTGGCGCTTGTTTTGTGCAGAAACATAAGTTTGATGATGCTATGAAAATGTGGAAGAAAGGCATTCAACACGAGCAGAAAACGTTTCTCGACCAACTTCTCTCATCAGCTCGAGTTTCTAGAATCAAACTAGATACACGATTGGTTCAAAATGCTTATCGTGCTGCGATCGATCATTATGAAAACGATAATAAGAGTGACTATGCAAAATTGTAAGTTTGTATGTTTATTTATTTTGAGTTCGGTTTATTGGTAATATCTTGATTAGGAAGATCAGATAGAGAAACACAGTAGAACACGAAAGAGCGAGAAGACAAAACGAGAAATAGATCTGACGACATACATGATAATATCGATCTATATATATAATAAGTATGTTGGATAAATCCCAGTAGAAAATAAGAAGTAGCAGAAGATATTCAATATCAAGAATAACATGAATACTGGAAAAATTCCAACATAGCAATTAGGAATTTTTCAACATAGCGATAGGAAAAATTCCTATATTAACATCTTCTCCTTTAAGTTTGTTATGTCGATGTGAAACGATCAGGCGGTTTCTGGTTTCGACGAGTATAACATAACGATTGCAGTTCTGAATGTTCAACTTGTATTAAATGCTTGTTGCGACTTAATACGCCCAATTGTGAAGTGTCCCAATGAGATAACTGATCACTTGTATTATGATGTAGGCGGAGTTGATTCCGATGACGTTTTCGAATTTTTTCATGACAGTGCTTGAATATTTTAGGGCCTAGATCCGACTGATCAGTTGAAGTATATGAAGCTAGAGGGAAATCTCGGAACGAGTTCTTGCACTCTGAAGATTTGTTTGTTTGTTGAGGAATTTGTTAGCGGATTAAACGTACTTTGGATGAACGAACAAATTGTTTTTAAAGTTCATGTTCAATTGAATAAGACGATATTGGTGTAATGCGTTTAGTATTGTTGTGAACCTTACCAACACGTTGAATGCAGTTTGGTCTATGTATGGTTTCGTTCAGATCAATTTTCAGAGTAGTAACCCATTGAAGACCAATGAGAGGTGAACCTGTACCATGAACGATAATCATATTAAGATTAAAACTTTTACCGTTGTATTTTACGTTGACGTTGCATTGGCCTTTGACTGTAATGAGTCTATCACCATAACATTCGAGTTTCAGTGTAGATGATCGAATGGCTGGTGATCCAATTTTCTGTCAATCTTTGACAGTGATAATAGTATTGTCCGTTCCTGTATTCAACTCGAAAGTACATTTCTGATCATTGATTTTTAACGAAACCGTTGCTGGGCCAGAAGTTGGCTGATTTCGTTGACTGACAGATTTTAGCTTCTGTGAAGTTCTTATCCGTTTTGTCATTTTTCTCTCCGCCGTTTCCTGTCGACATATCCATTTCAAGTGTCCAGAACGTTTGCAGAAGTTGCAAATAAAGCCACGGTACGTGCATTGTGAGAGTGGGTGATTTCTTGCTCCTCAGGTTTGACATTGTTTGTATTGAACGTCGGTATCGGATAGTGATTTATCAGATGATTGTGAGTGGTGTTGTCTTTGATTCGAATTGTGTCGTTTTGAACGATAAGTGAGCACCTTCGCAATAGTAAAGTCAGGATTATGAGCAAGACTACCGAAATGACGAACATCTTCTTCGAATTGTTCAGCTAATTGGATTGTTCTCTCGGTAGTTTCTAGATCAGGATCCTGTTCTTTGAGTAGGGCTTGTCGAGTTTTCTGACTTTAAATATCGATAATGTACATATCACGAAGAGCACGATCTTGTGGCTTGTTCTTCAACAAAGATGTTGTACAACTACAATGACGCATTTTCTCGCACAATTCTGCTATCCATTTCCTAAATGACTGACCAGGTTTCTGATAACAGGAATAGAAATCGTACGCTGAAGTCATAATGTTCTTTGCCGCATCGTAATGCACATCTAACAGCTTGATTAGATTAGTGAATGTTGTTTCATCATCAATCAGAAGATTTGGAGAAACAAGTGATTTGAGAAGACTGAATGTCGAGTCTCCCACAGACCAAAGAGGTAACCCCTTCTTATCATCATCAGTATGAATACGATTTGCTTTAAAATAGAAATTGATGCGATCACGATATGATGGCCAGTTTGTTGTACGAGAATCGAAAGCATGAAGTGCTAGAATCGATGAAACTGTTGGAGGTGATATAGCTGTATGATTGGATTTCGCCATGTTGTTTAATCAGATATGACCAAAAAAAAATCTCGTTTCCAACTGTAAATTTGTGTGTTTATTTATTTTGAGTTCGGTTTATTGGTAATATCTTGATTAGGAAGATCAGATAGAGAAGCACAGTAGAACACGAAAGAGCGAGAAGACAAAACGAGAAATAGATCTGACGACATACATGATGATATCGATTTATATATATATAAGTATGTTGGATAAATCCAAGTAGAAAATAAGAAGTAGAAGAAGATATCCAATATCAAGAATAACATGAATACTGAAAAAATTCCAACATAGCAATTAGGAATTTTTCAACATAGCGATAGGGAAAATTTCTATATTAACAAAAACATCTTAGCATTCTTTATGCAAAACGGGACAATTATGATCAAACCTCCGATTCTGTTCAACAACAAAGTTCAATTGGTCATGCGAATAATTCGGCTTTGCAACGGAACTTTCAACCAAACGAGAATTTTTGTGAACAATTTTTAAAATCCGACGAAAACGATATAGGACTGAATATAGGAATACGTTTGCGAATGCTAACAGCAAACACGATGAATTCGAATGAAGATGCGATTAAACAACTTCGTGCATTTGACGACAAGTTGAAAGAAAGTAAAAACGATACCGAATGTCGTCTGCGGATGATCATTAAGGACCGTCTCGCGGAAAATTACCTATCACAAGAAAAGTATAATGATGCCCGTGAGTATTCTGATGACTCATTTAAACTGAAACAGCTTCATTTCTCATCCTCTCATCCAAGTCTTGCACGCAATCATTTGCTCACTGCCTCATGTGTTTTTCAACAAAAAGATTATAAAAGTGCTGTAGAATATTATGAAAAAGCGATTGAAATCCAGCGCAACGATAGTCTCAGTCATGATAAAAATATTCGGTCGACTTATTTTCTAATCGGAGATTGTTATTGTAAAATGGGCAAAATCGAACTGGCAAAAACAAATTACGAACGAGCACAAGATTCCAATCCAAACAATGATGATGACGATGAAAAGTTGGAACAAGATTTTGAAGCACTTATTCGTATGCATTCAAATTTGGCCGATAGCTTTGCTAAACAAAAAGAATTTAGGTCAGCATGCTCAGAAGAAAAAAATAAAATCGAAATTATCAGAAAGATTATTCCAGAATTTATTGTCGAATTAATCGAAAATAAAAATGCCTCATCAGTGACATACGAGAATTTACAGACAGCATTAAAGGACAGATTGGGTCTGGCGAATAGAGTAAAATTTGCTCAAGTTCTACAGAATTTTGTTTTTATCGCTTCTTCTCTGGGTCGTGCGCTATTACTTGTCCATCGATCAAAGAAAAGCAACGTAGTCGCCACTGATAATTATGAAAAAGCGATTACACTCCAATTAAAATTGCGTATGTTCAAAAAAACCCAAAACCGTCTATCGAAGTTGTATGAAGAATTGAGCAATACTTACAAAGTACCCCACCGTCGTGCTAAAGAACACATTCTACAAAATCTTACCAACGCACTTGATGAAACTACGAAAGATGATCATAAACGATCATTAGAATTTCGTCTTGGAAATTTTCATTACGATGCAAAGAATCATCGTGAAGCGAATCGTTTCTGGGACCAAGCACGTAAAGGAGTATCATCTAATCAAACTATTACCGAAGCAATTTTCAATGAATTAGTTCAGCATCATAAAACAAAGATCTCAAGAGGTGACGAAAATGCTGAAGATCATGATGAAACCAGTGATACGGACACTGAAGAGTATGATGAAACAAGTGATACGGACACTGAAGACCATGATGAAACAAGTGATACGGAAAATGAAGACCATGATGGAAAAAGTGATACGGAAAATGAAAACCATGATGGAAAAAGTGATACGGAAAATGAAGACAATGCCAATCAACTCTCACAGCACTGTGAAACTTCTTCAAAGACTCTATCAGGCAAATCTCAGCGTTCTCAGCCGATTAAATCAGTTAATGATAACGAAGATCTTGGAAAATATGCTCAAGCTTATTTGGAACTAGGGGATGACGCGAATGCATTGAAATATTTCAAAAAATATGTCCAGACATTGAAGGAGAAATTGCAAGTTCAAGACACCGATATTAAAGATGAAAAACTGCCAATCGTCAATTTTTTCCTACCTCTACTAGCAGAAAATATCTCTTCGGTTATATCTTCTTCATCAAAATCAAAAGATATTTCTGACGGAAATGTCTATACTAATTTGCTGCGGGCTTACATAAACATGTTCAAAATAGCCAGACGAATGAATGATTCGTCAAAAGACATAAAAAGGGAGTACTTTGCGGCGTATTGCATATGTAAAAACTCAAATGATATGCCAAAGAACTTGATTCAAGCTTTCGATTCTCTATCAGCTAGCGATATGGAAAGCCTTCCATGGATGCAACTCATTCCTCTATTTCAATATGAACAGCTGATCGTTGTTCTCATGAGAATAGCTGCATATCACAATAAAAAATACGATTGGGACTGCGCGCTAAAAATTTATGCTACACTTCAGAGCACGATTCAGAATAATGACATATTGAAGAGTGCAGTCAATTATTGTTTATTGTATTTATTTCGAAATTACCTGGATTGTGAACAAGAACATAAAACAAATATCGTGGCAGTAAATATTGACTCGCTAAACATTCCCATTTTCGATCGAATTCTTCTGTGTAAATCGATCATTGGCTGCATGGAAGAATTGGAAGAAACAAAAGCGGTCAACGAATATGAAACAAAACTAATAAAACTCCAAACTGAAGCATGGGCCGTCACTGATTTGAGGAAAACGCAGTGTATTGGAAATGTTCTCATGGAACTCCAACAGAATATTATAGCTCACGAATACTGGACTGACTTGCAACGAATTTATAAGAAAATGTTACCAGAATTCATCGTTGAACGTCTATATTCAGACGACTCCGATTTCGAAAACATTTTTCAAGTGGTACAAGAGATGAATAGCAATCTTTTGAACAATATTCGCTCTTTGGCTAAAAGCTATGAATTGGTTGCCACCTACGCAGAATCGGACAACCGTGATGATGGGGCTCCTGCACGTCAGAAAGTGCGGGTCATTCGGAGCAAGAGTCCCTGAACGAGACAAAAACTCGAAAAAAGAACAGCGGCACTCAAGACTAGGAGAAAACAACGCGACTTAATCGACCTAACTCCATTTCTTAGTTCTTCCTAATATACTTCTTTTCTTTTTCACATATATTAGAAGTATTGCGAGAGACTACGCAACGCACTACACACTCTAGCATATTTAACTTGATCAAAATCCAAAGTTTACTGAGTGTAACAAAACATTAGCCACACGGTTTAGTTTTCACATATCTCAGCACAGACAAAACATAAAATGTTCAGCTCTTCTCTGAAAGATGCGGTATCAAATTCTCTACAATCTTCCATTTACTCGAACTCAAAATCGTAGAACTGCTCGCTTTAGTAAATCACAGAGTGTGCGTTTGAGTGTGAGCGTGGGTGCCTGGCTGTGTGCATGCGGGTGTGGATGTGGGTGTGGACCTGGGTGTAAGGCTGTGGGTGTGCGTGTGGATGTGAGTGTGGGTGTGAGTATGGGTCCTAAATGTGTAGAGGGTGGGCCAGAGTATGGGGTGTAGGTGGATGAGGGTGCGGGTATGGGCTGAGCTGTGGATGTGGGCGTGGGTGTGTGAGTGTGCGTATGAGTGTGGTTGTGATTGTGAGTCATAGGTTCCTCCACATCCATACCCACAATTTGTACTCACAACCTCCATCCACACATGCACATCCTCACCCACACAACCACACCCTCACCCACACCCACACCCATCCTCACACCCACACCCACACCCACACCCACACCC